GAATTTCCTTGTTTTGTTTCTTAATTTAGCATGTATTGGAAATGACTAATCTAGGTAGGTATTATTTCATGTTAATATAGAAAGCTAATAGTCTGCCAGTGTTCGGGGGGTTGCAGATTTTAATTTATTGGAACAATCACTGTGAAGGTTGGGTGGTTACTGAGAATGGGGAAGAACATACATCCTCAACATGTCATGCAGGAGCTCCTAGTGTATCTTCTCATAGACACAGTTTACAAATGGTGATTCGATAGAATAGTAGTATGAGTTACTGCCTGAGCTGGGCAGGCGTATTCTGAATGCCTGCTGGCTCCTTGGCAGGAAAGAGATGCTATAGTAGTCGGGCCTGGCTTGCAGGACTTCCTGGAGAGAATGATGACTTGCAGTCTACATAACTCTGCTCACAATATTGTGCTTTCCCTTCAGCTCAGTGTAAGATGGTTATGGATGGGAACTTGGCTGTGCTTGTTAAAGGAGGAACTGAGATGGTAGTTCAGGCATTGAATTTGAACTATGCTTTTTCTTCAAGATTTTAAGTTATTTGAAAAAAATTATACTTTCTCACATTTTTCAGTATGACAGCTAATATTCTCATCAAGTTTATGTATTTTGAGGCTGTTTTCTAGCATTATGAGTATCAGCATTTTATAGTAAGAGTATTTATTGTACCTGATAAAGAATATAACTAGTAAATTTTGAACAGTTTTAGTTCGATAACTTCCATCAGTGTCAAAAACCAAACACAGATTTTTGTTCCTGCTGATAGTTTTCTTTCCTTGTTTCTGAAAATATATTTTCTCCACATTTTTATTATTCTTTTGAGGATTTCATCTATTGCCATCACACATTTTGATCATATTCTTCATCCAATGCTCTTGCATCCCCATTCCTTCTCGAGTTCATGTCTTCTTCACACACACACACACACACACACACACACACACACACACACACACACACACCAGAGTCTACTGAGTCTAGTTTGTTTTGCCCATATGTGTAGACAGAAGTTTCTGTCCTGCCTGGGTCCACAGCCATTCAGTAACTTTGTCTGTCCTGGAACTCACTCTGTAGACCAGGCTGGCCTTGAACTCACAGAGATCCACCTGCCTCTGCCTCCCAAGTGCTGGGATTAAAGGCATGTGCCACCATGACTTTAATCTTTTTTTCTTTTTTTTAAAGGACTTTCTTTATCCTTTTTCTTTTCCCTCCCAAGCTTACATATATTTCTAAACACACTGTGAACTGTTTAGGGTTGGCTTTTTTTAAAAAAAGTCTGAATCTGTCTCTATTGTAGATCTCTATATTTTTCTGTGCACGAGTCTTTAATCTGCTAAGCAGCATGGCTAGGATTAAAGCTGTGGCTTTGGTGACTGGCTTCACCCTGTTTCTTAGCTTTCTGAGAGTCTAGCTTTATAGCTGAGGTACAAGCAGGGGCCATGTTTATTGACACAGCTCTGTGGAGTTTCTAGGTCCATCCCACCACCATGAATTCTGCTGGTTGCTTTTAAGAACCATGTAAGTGTTTCGTTGCAAGACCTCTTAAAAGAACTGCAAGTTTTTTGTCACTAATGCTGAGTCAGGAAGTTTCTCTTAAAGGAGCTGCATCTCTGCTTGCCTCTAACAAAAAGCCCACCTGAGAAAATGCTGCTATCAAGAAGCCACGCTTGACTCTGTTCTTTTGTGTCTAGAATAACTTCCCAAGCTCTCTCAGGTTTTATGTGGACGTAGTGGCCAAATGTTGGGCACCATTTGTAGACTGAAGTTTTTGTCCCTTCCAGTCCTGCAGCCATTCAGTCCCAAATAAACACACAGAGGCTTATGTTAATTATAAACTGTTTGACCCACTGTTCAGGCTTATTACTAATTATTTCTTACAACTTAAATTAACCCATAATTCTTACCTATTTTTAGCCTTGTGTATTGGTACCTTTTCTCAGTGAGGCATTCTCATCTCGCTTCCTCTGCTTCTGTCTTTTCTCTTTCCAGAATTCTCTTAGTTTGGTTGCCCAGCCTATGCTTCCTGCCTGGCTACTGGCCAATCAGCACTTTATTAAAACCAATATGAGTGACAAATGTTTACAGTGTACAAGAGCATTATCCCACAGCACATATGCACATGAGGATAGGGTTGACCTGTAGGACATGGGCAGCATATGGGGGGCCTCAGCCCTAAAATAGCTCCTTTTCCTACATCAGAAGCCTGCTGCTCCTCAACCAGAGGTGAGGCCTCATGAGCTTCCCCTCGTCCTTGCTGGAGTGTTGTTTAGTGTGATCTTGTGCAGATCTTGTACAGGCACCATGGCTGTTGAGAGTTCATGGCTGCAGCATCCCTATCTCTCCCTGAAGACACTTTTTACAACAGTCTTTTGGTTCCCTAGCTTTTTTAGTATTTTCACGCTCTTTCCTATGTCCCTGAACTGTGAGTGTACAAGTTGTGTTATATCCCACAATATATAATTTATGGAGGCGTGTACGCACAATCACCTGCTCTCTGCCCTTTGATCAGCTGTGGTTGAAGCTTCTCTTATGAGGCATGAGAGCTGTACTAATTTATGTGCAAAGGGATAAAGATTTAGAACACAGTTGGATACTATGTTAATTTAGAAGAATAACAATAGGAGATTCTCCTCTAGGGTTTGTGAGCTCTAGCCATGGGTTTCTTTGCTAGGTTTTCAGTACTAGGTATGACTTCCCTCCTATTGACTGAGCCTTTATTCCAATCAGAGAGCTGTTGGCTACCCCCAATATAGTAATCCCACTCTTGCATTGGCCATTATTGCAGTTCACAATATTTACAGCTGAGCAGGACTTTTGATAAACATTTTTTGCCTGACAACCTGAAAGTTTTGCCTGACAATCAGGAAGGAAGCTTCTAGGTCATTACGAGGTCCACTTCTTCAAGTTCTGTGACCAAAATGTGTGGTGTCTTCAGCAATAGAACAAATAAATAGAAAAAAAATAATAGAAGAACTTACCTTCAAGTTCTGTCAGTTACCCAAAAGCAACAACAATAGTCTAACTGCCTCTGAACCACCTGACAAACAATTCTGAGAAAGGTATCCATGCCTGACAAGGCCTCTTTGTTTGACGCTCTGTGACTTCTGGGAAGAGAGAGCATTACCTCCTCATGTTCCTCCCCAGTACTTCTTCCACACATAGTATGCTTTGGTAGGTGTTCCTATATCCAGAGAATTTACTTGTATATATATTGTGAAGAACATCTATTTATAGTTAATCACAACAAAATGTGTATAATTTGAAATGAGACATTCAAATAATTCCAGAAGGTTTAAGACTGAAAATTTTCCACTAGATTGATTTAAATTATAATAAGAATGAGTACACAATTTATTAAAGTAACAAGTACAAGTTTTAATTGAAATTATTAATTTAAGAAATTTTACTAGAAAATAATTTCTTAAGGGAAAGGGTAGATCGACTATCTTTCAAAGTTGTTCATAAATATCTTGATTTAACATTGGTTTTCTTTTGTTTTAATAGATGCATTTGCTGAGGAAAGTTTTCTCAGTAATGAGACCATTTGAATAGAAGTTCAGTTATAAACCATTCACTCAACTCTCTGACTCTTTCCCAAGAACATGACAAAAGGGTTGTGGTCTATCATCAAGAATTATCTTAAATTATGTATCAGTTGACCAATATTTTATGTTTTCCTTCAACTTTCTGAAAGCAAAGAACCTAAAACATTAGACTTGCAAACTTTAATACTGAGTGAATGGTTCATCCTGTCAGTTTCTGGGAGTTATACCAAAACGGCATTACTGAGAATTATCAAAGGAATGTTCTTATTTTTCTTTTACTTAGGTATACCTTGTTTAAGCCAACATCCTAAGAAGGATTTGGAAAATGTTAATTTTAGTATTCTGCCAGTTACAATTTATACTATGAAATTATTTTTGCATCTTACATGCTTAGTTATTTTAATATCTCTTAGAACTGCCTATCTTGTTTTCAGTTTGTAGAAAAATGGAGCATGTTAGGAAGAGGCAGAGATAATCCCTTGTCAAACCCAGTCAGTCAAATGAAAATTGGTTAATCAAAGTCTTATGTTGCTTCCCAATTAAATAAATATTCATACTCATTCTTTGCTATGTGTATATTGTGTTATATGCATGTTTATGTGTGCTTGCCTGTCAGTGTAGCATGTGGAGTCCAGAGGTTGATGTCTGTGACCAGCTGCCTTATCCTTTTCTGCCATGCCTTCTCAGTATGATGGACCGTGTCCCTTCAACTGTGTACACTCTGACCAGCTGCTTCATGCTCCTCTGCCATGCCTTCCCCTATGATGGGCCGTGCCCCTTAAAGTATAAATAAACCTTTCTCCCCTAAGTTGTCTTATTGTCAGATGTCTGATTTCGTTGGCTGTAAAGAAACTGATACCGAGATCCTTATGTAAGTGCGAAGTAACCAAAACAGTCTGAGTGTGAGCATGCACTGGTCTGAGATGTCTTCGTCACCCAATTCACAGGCATATCTCATGGGTACCACAATTTCACTAAACATGCTGTTTTTGTTGTTATTTGGGATGACTGGGAGTTTGTTAAGGGTTCTGCAGTTATGAAGGCTCAGTACTTGCTGAAAGTTTTGTTTTCTGTTTTGGAGAGTCTATTTAAAATTGACTATCTCCAAAATTCACCTTCTGTTTGCTACATCATCCTTCTAAATAAATAAAAATAATCACAGAATTCAAGAAAACAGCTGTCTTTTTGATATGAGTTTTTCTGTCAGTGTAAGTTCATTATAATCATGCTTATATAATTAAAAGAAAGGATGAATTATTTAATTTATAGTAGCAATTAATCTTGACTTCATTTTAACTTCAGAAGTACAGCCATGTAAATTTTTGTTGGCCTGAGTTTCTCTCCTTTGTTTGTCTTTATTCTGAAGAAGACATTTCTTTGTTCTGTTTTATTGTGTGTAGGTTTGTGTATTTGTGCCAGAGACTTACTTCGTTTTTCCTGTGTTATCACGTGCAGGTAATGTGGGTATGTAATTTGTGCCGAAAACAACAAGAAATCCTCACCAAATCAGGAGCATGGTTTTATAACAGCGGGTCTAACACACCCCAGCAGCCGGATCACAAGGTTCTTCGAGGGCTTCGGAATGAGGAGGCTCCTCAGGAGAAGAAAGCAAAGCTGCATGAGCAGACCCAGTTCCAAGGACCCTCAGGTGACTTATCTGCGCCTTTAGTGGAGAAAGCGCGATCTCATGGACTCACCAGACAGAATTCTATTAAAAATGGGTCAGGAGGGAAGCACCCGATCGCCAGTGACATTCCTTCAGACAGGTAAGCGGTTGGTTTTCTAAAATTCGTTTGTGTGTGAGTGGGTATGGTGTGTGCGATGACGGTCAGACGAGGATAACTGTGGCGTTGGTTCTCGCCATTTTGTGAGTTCTGGAGTTTGAACTTGGTTCATCCGACTTGTGTGGTATGTGCCTGCTGACCAAAATGTAGTATTCATAATTTTCATTCCAAGCAGAATAAACATATATGCAAATTTTAAGCAACAGCGAGTTGTCTACATGTTATATCCATTTTTTAAAATTCCTTTTCTTTTGTGATGTTCATGATTTGAGCTATGACAGATTTAAAGTATTTTGTTTGATATTCGCAAGACTATAAGACAGGTTTCCAAGAATAAAGAAAGGAATCTTAATTCCTTTTGATTAAGCTTTTGTTGCTTTTGTTGTAAATTGTGGCCTTCCTACTGGGTGTACCAGGTTTTTTTTTTCCCCCCTGTGGTCTTTCTTGAGTGAGTAAAGACAGAGGCTATTTCTTCCTGTGTTTAGTAGGCATTTATATATTTTCTTTGGTGACCAGACTGTGGGGTTGTTTTTTTTTTTACACTTTTTTTTTTAATTTTTTTTATTTTATTGAGAATAAGAAAAAAAAAGTTTCCGCCTCCTCCCAGCCTCCCATTTCCCTCCCCCTCCCC